TCATCAAAGTGTTGGCAGGTCTACCGAACCCGCACGGTGGACATAAACCATCCTCACTGTCCTTTCCTAAAAAGAACCAAGGTGACATCCCATCGTCTTATTTTTATTCGGTCAGAGAGGCCGTATTAGGCTTGTTCAAAGCTTTGGGGAGAGACGTAACCAACTCTACACCGGCGATACCACGAAACGGAAATGGGCCCACCTACGACGACGTCGCCACTTCTGCTTTGCAATTAGCCAGCCTTCCTGTTTATGTTGATCTACTTAAGAACGGGTCGAAGAAATCCAGGGACAACGCCCTACGTGAGCTGCTCAAGGCCAGCCTAAAGCATTTGGAGGCATCTCGACTAAATGAAGATGTACCGTCGCCAGAAAAGACTCCCACGACCAGTAAGAATGAGTCTTTGCGACTCCGTGGAAAGAAAACTTTTGTATGTAGATATGAAGGATGTACTCGAAAAACTGCGCGGTTGTCTGACCTGAAGTATGCTTGGCTTTTTCTCTTCACCCCTGCCTGATTGGAGACGTTGATTGCTAACCAGTAAACTCTAGGAAGCACGAGAAGCGCCATTCTCGACCCTACGGCTGCACTCATCCTAGGTGCTTTAAGAGTTTTGGAAGTAAAAACGACTGGAAGCGTCACGAGAACACCCAACATTTCCAGCTCCGGTGCTGGCGTTGTCCAGTAATGCATACCACGAGAAATAACGTAGCCAGCAGAGATGAGACCTTGATGGAAAGACCAGACCGTGAGGATTTCCCTCCAGCTATCCCTTTGCGGCGCACGGATTGTGCCCGTCTTTTCGACAGAAAAGACAAATTCTATCAACACCTCCGATCCGAACACCTCCTTGACGACCAGCAGACAAAGCAGACCGCGAGACATAATGAGATCGGTCGTAATGGGCAGTTCCAATTCTGGTGTGGGTTCTGTTGCAAACTCATTCAGCTGCGAAAAGAGGGGATGGATGCTTGGGACGAAAGATTTGATCATATTGACAACGAGCATTTTAAGAAGAAGCAAAACATTGGCGCCTGGGTTCACCCGGAGGGTCAGCTCACCAAGCAGTGTGAAGAAAAGGAGGATATGGCAAGTGGCACATTGGAAACATCTAATGAATGTGAGGGGGTTGAGGAGGTGGATGCAAGCTTCAAAAGAAACGACGGTGTAGATGATCTCGCGAAAGATGTGGGGTCTGTCTCTCGGACCATGCCTGTCTCTATTCAGACACCTGCCGCGAATTCCATTTGTGGACGTTCCCGCACGCCGCTAGCTTCTGGCAGTTCAAACCAATTCCTCCCGAGTCACCAAGAGGAAACACGCTGCTACCCTAGAAAGCTCGCTCTCAGATGGCAATTGTATTGTTACTCATCGACTTTCATTCTTTTAATTCAGCATC